ACCTATGATTAAGTGATTGACGAATGGTGACCAAATATCATGGTATAGTGGGTTGTCAGATAAGCGAACATAATTGAGTTTAAAACTAATATCCCATTGAATGTAAGAAAGAACTCATTTTCTTCTTTCTGCTAGTGATTTCTGGCCAAATCCAGAGTCAAAAAGATATTATGGTGCAAATAATAAAATTATTTCCTAACTCCTATCAACTTTCCATTATGGGTAGCTAGTATTTAGTGGTAACCAGCTTTTATAATAGCGTCCTTAACTGTCATTGTTAAATAGCATAATTAAACAGCATCTTTAATTGCTCTTAAATGGATAAATGGAGTAAAACTTTAAAAAATGCCTAGTAGAATTTTAGCTAAATTTGACATTAGAATTTGAGTTGCCATTTCTCCTGTCAGTATTCTGTCTGTAGAACTTACAGTCTCAGAGTTGTTAGAATCTAGAACAGTCCTGATAAAAGTTTCTAACTTTCTAATATTCGCTTATGAGGTAAGAAAGTCATTGATTGTCACCTCAGGAAATAAGGTTCTCCTAGGGTGTTTTGGGGAACATGAGAAGCAGTTTTGGTTGCCCTAGTGGCTGGGGGACACTGCTGGATTACATGTGGCTGTGACCAGTTGTGGTAAAAGTCCTGCGTGATGACAAATAGCCCCTTCTCAAATGTCATTGGGTCCTGTTGAGAAACACTGAGCTAGGTGAATTTATGTACTTTTTATAGCTGGGAGAGAAGAAAAATCAGACAAATTTGATTTCCTGTATTCAAAATTGGAAAACAAGAGTGGGGTGATGGTGATACGCTAGATACAAGAAAGAAGCAAGGAAAATGCAAAGTTTGCTTATAATGCTATGTGACAATTTTCTGTCTTTAAAAAAACTTTTAAGTTTGTAATAATTTTAGATTCATAGGAAGTTATGAATATAGTACAGAGAGGTCCTATGTACCCTTCATCCAGTTTCCCCCAATGGTTAAGTTAGATAACTGTAGTACAGCATCAAAACCAGGAAATTCGCATTGGTATAGGGTGTGTGTAGTTCTGTCAGCACCTGTGCACGTTAGTGTATCCACTCCTACAGTGAAGAAACAGAACTATTTCATCACAGAGGCCTTCCTCTGTAGCTAACCCCTAGCCATCACTAACCTGTTCACCAACTCCATACTTTTGTCATTTTGAGAATGTTATATAAGTGAAATCATATATGACCTGTGAGATTGGCTGGACTTTTTTTCACGTCGCATAATGCCTTGAGACAGATTCAAGTTGCTATATGTATCACTAGTTTGTTTATTCATACGGCTGAGTAATATTCTGTGATATGAACACACCCCAGTTTTTTTTTTTAACTATTCCCCTATTGTGGGCTATTTTGGGTGTTTCCAATATTTAAATATTACAAATAAGGTAATATTTGTCAATGAACAATTGCATACAGATTTTTGCTTTGACATAAGTTTTCACACCTTTGGAATAAGTACCTGGAGGCACAATTGCTGGACAGTATGATAAGTGTATGTTTAATTTTTAAACATACTACCAGGCTGTTTTTCAGGGTGACAGTACCATTTTAAATTTCCAACTGCAATGTATGAGAAGCCCAGTTTCCCTACATCCATGGCTGCATTTGGTATTGTCACTGTTTTTTATTTTAACCAATCAGGTATGTAGTAATAGCTCATCATGGTCTTACTTGCATTTCCCTAATAGCTGGTGGTATTGAACATCTTTTCACATGCTTGTCATCCATATTTCCTCTTCAGTGAAACGTCTCTTTGTGTCTTTTGCCATTTTCTAATTGGATTGTTTTCTCACTGTTGAGGTTTCAAGGTTTTTGTTTGTTTGTTTGTTTCTTGTTTGTTTTTTTTGAGTCAGGATCTTGCTCTGTCACATGGGCTGGAGTGCAGTGGCACAATCATGGTTCACTGCAGTCTCGGCCTCCAGGGCCCAGGCAATCCTCTCACCTCAGCTGCGTAGCTGGGATTACAGGCGTGCACCACCATGCCCAGCTAATTTTTGCATTTTTTGTAGAGACAGGGTTTTACTGTGTTGCCTAGGCTGGTCCCAAACTCCTGGGCTCAAGCAGCATGCCCCCATCAGCATCCTAAAGTGCTGGGATTACAGGTATGAGCCGAGTGAAAGGGACTGAGTATTTTAAAAAATATTTCCTGGATATGAGTCCTTTGTCAGATACATGTCTTGCAAATATTTTTTTCAAGTCTGTACTTATTTTTTCATCTTCTAATTAGAGCTTTTCACAGAGGAAAAGTTTTTTTATGTTGATGATGTCCAATTTATATACTTTTGAAATTTTATGGATAATGATTTTGGTATTAGTCCTAAAAACCCTTCACCACGCACTAGTTCCTAAAGAATTCCTTACATTTTTTCTTATATTTTATACTTTTACATTTACATTTAAACCTGTGATCCATTTTGAGTTAATTTTTTAGTAAGGTATGACATTTATTTTTCCTTTTCTTTTTGCCTATGGCTATCTCATGGCTCCTGCACCATTGGTTGAAAAAACTATTTTATTACATTGAATTGTTTTTGATGCAGCATTGTGTAGTTTTCAACGTATGTATCTTACACAGATCTACATAAACTAAAGTTTGGCTTATAGATGTGTATCTATGTGTTGTGTTTTGTTAGGGTTTATAAATAGCATTGCATTTTTAATTTCAGTGACTATGTGTTCATTGCCAGCATATGGAAAATACAATGGATTTTTATATGTTCATCTTGTATCATCTGACTTTGTTGAACTTGCTTTTTAGTTCCGGGAGATTTTTGTAGATTCTTTGGAATTTTCTGTGTAGATCATCATGTCATTTGCAAGTAAGAAGCATTTTATTTCTTACTTTTCAATCTGTGTACTTTTATTTCCTTTTCTAGGCTTATTGCATTGCCTAGAACTTCCAACACTATGTGGAATTACAGTGGTAGGAGCACACATCCTCAGTTTATCATAGGGAAAGCATTCAGTCTTCCCCATTATGCGTGATGGAACCTGTCAGCTTCTGGGAGATGCTCTTAAGTTTAGGAAGTTTCACTTTATTTCTAGTTTTCTGAAGGTTTTCTGACATGATGGGTGTTGAATTTTGTCAAATGCTTCTTCTGCATCAATTGATATAATCATGTAACTTTTCTTCTTTAATATGATGGATTGTAGTAATTGATTGTTGAATATTGAACCAGGCTTGAATTTCTGCAGTAAACACCATTTGGTCATGGTGTATAATTTCTTTTGTATACTGCTGAATTTCATTTACTAATATTTCATTAAGGGTTTTTGCTTTCGTATTCATGAGGAATATTGGCCTATAGCTTTCTTTTCTTTCTTCCTTTTTTTTGCTGCTGTCTTTATCTGATTTTGGTATCTTTTCTGGATTTTTTTTTGAATATGTATTTATGTATTGTTTATGCTAGCGGAGGTCTAATTCAAACATGAAAAGAAATAACTGCAATAAAAGATTAAACTCAGTCTAAAGTATTGCTTTGTAGAAGTAAGATTTTACTGCATTTAAATGTATATTTAAATTTGTAAGTATATAAAGGAGATTTTTTTCCATTAAAATTCTATTGAGGGTTTAAAAATTATTTCCAGGTAACTAAGATTGACTTAGGGTATAAATTATGTCAATATATTATAAGTTGAAAAGGACGTTGTACCAAATAGTTTAGTAAAATCATAGTAAACTAAGTGTAGCTTCAGTAAAGGTGAACATTTAGGTTTGTTTCTTAGTTGTAATGTAGGCAAGTTTTACTTCAGAATTCCATTGGATACATGCCTTCTACTCCTTAATTTAAGGATTCCCCATTTCTGTATGCATCCCATAAAATGACAGAGTCGATGTCATTAAGCCGAGATCCTCTTTTGCCAGTAATGAAGAGTTATAGTGTAGATTCATGTTTAAGCTTTGTAGTATGTTGAATGTTTATGGTGTATTAATAATGAGTAAGATATATATATATATTACATATAAACATTTTCATATACAAAGTGTATGTAACTTTTAAAAAATTATTTCTTGCCTTAAACAAATTCATGAGTAATATCCAAGTAGATGCCAGAAATTATCTGTTCCTTGTGAGTTTTTTTTTTTTTTTTTTAACGAGATGGAGTCTCGCTCTGTCTCCCAGGCTGGAGTGCAGTGGCGCGATCTTGGCTCACTGCAAGCTCCGCCTCCCGGGTTCACGCCATTCTCCTGCCTCAGCCTCCCGAGTAGCTGGGACTACAGGCGCCCACCACTACGCCCGGCTAATTTTTTGTATTTTTAGTAGAGACAGGGTTTCACCATGTTAGCCAGGATGGTCTCGATCTCCTGACCTCGTGATCTGCCCGTCTAGGCCTCCCAAAATGCTGGGATTACAGGCATGAGCCACGGCGCCTGGCCCCTTGTGAGTTTTTAAAGCTAGTTAATAAGTGAAAATTTAAACTTAAGATTTAAATTATGGCCAGTTACGGTGGCTCACACTTGTAATCCCAGCACTTTGGGAGGCTGAGACGGGAGGATCACTTGAGGTCAGGAGTTTGAGACCAGCCTGGCCAACATGGTGAAACCCCATCTCTACTGAAAATACAAAAATTAGCCAGGCATGGTGGTGCACACCTGTAATCCCTGCTACTTGGCAGGCTAGGGCACAAGAATCGCTTGAACCTGGGAGGTGGAGGTTGCAGTGAGCCAAGATCTCAGGCCACTGCACTCCAGCCTGGGGAACAGAGTGAGACTCTGTCTCAAAAAAAAAAAGAAGATTTAAATTATGACTGCAATCTTGTTGACATGAACAAAGGGTATCTAAAATTATTCTTTTTGAGCATCCATAGCATTACTTAGCAATCTACAATGTGTATGACCTATCATTTACACCACAGATCTTCTATAGCTGCATGAAATAAAATACATTTTACAACATATTTTAATGAATGCTTCTATATGCAGTTCCTCGAAAAGGAAAGGTTTCTCTTATTTCAGCTTTGTTCTGATTTCATAGGATTCAAGCCAAAACTCGAGAATTTAGGGAACGACAAGCTCGAGAGCGTGACTATGCTGAAATCCAAGATTTTCATCGGACGTTTGGCTGTGATGATGAGTTGATGTATGGGGGAGTTTCTTCTTATGAAGGTTCCATGGCGCTCAACGCTAGACCTCAGAGCCCACGAGAAGGGCACATGATGGATGCTTTGTATGCCCAAGTCAAGAAGCCGCGGAATTCCAAACCCTCACCTGTAGACAGGTAGGCGCCAGGGGCAATCATGGTATTGCTTCCAAATCAACTTTTATAAAGCTTCTGACAAGGGAGTAGACCGTTCATCAATCCTCAAACCAGAATTGCCTTTTATTAATGGCCTTTAAAAAGCTGTTGTGTCTAAAAGTATTGAGTTTACACAAATTGAAACCTAATGGAAGGATCAGCAGAGGTTTTGATGGCTTTTCTAATGACTCCAACATATTTCATTTTTTCCTAAGATGGTTTTATACCTGAGAACCAACCTCTAGTTTATAACTCAAATAAAAAGCCCAACTTAAAATTATGACTCTTGTACTTAAGTGATACGTCCTTTTATGGCTAGGAGAGCCTCTAGGTGTGGCAGTTAAGTAGATGAGGAATGACATGATTTGTTCCAATTATGATTTAGATGGATCACTTTTTTTTAGGCGGCATAACTTTGTATTATGAAAGAATTGGTAAATGAGAAGAATAGTGTAGTATAACAGATTACTTATTAACAGCCACAGACCACAGGTCTGAATTATGTATATCAGTGTAGCACACAGGAGTGCAATGTTAACTGTATTCTTTAATTGACACATAGTATTTTACATGTTGATGGGATACATGTAGTATTTACATGCATAGAATGCGTAACGATCATGTCAGGGCGTTTGGGGTATCCCTCAGCTTGAGTATTTATTTATCTGTTAATTGTGTTTTAATGGCTATATATTTATTTGAAATTTTAACTGAAGCAATTTTAAATAGATCTTTTCCCGCTCTTTTGTTTGTATGTTCAAGCACCATGAGGAGTTTAGTTCACAAATAATTTCTTTTTATATCAGACATATATATGGATGTTGTTGTCATAAATGATACACTCAGCCCATCGTCTCTTATAATGATTTCTAATAAGTGTTGCTCTATTTAGGAACTGGACTTTGAACATTATGAATATCAGGTTTCATTAAAACCAGGGGCTCTCAAGCTTTAGTGCTTTAGCTTTAGTGTGTGTCAGAATCTCCTGGAGGGCTTCTTAAAATGCGCATTGATGGACTCTCCCCAAATTTTGATTCAGTAGGTCTGAGGTTGAGCCCAAGAATTTTCATTTCTTACACAAGTCCAGGTTTGACGCTGGTACCATTGGTCCTGGGGATGGCACTGTAAGAACCCTCGCAAGGCTAGAGACGTACTGGAATTACTTCATCCATAGTATCCATGTGTTATTGGTTGCTGTGTTTTACACCCAGTTTCTATTTTAGCTACTTCCAGCTGTTTTTAATAGAGGTTTGCAGATGCAACAGGTAACTCTCAGGCAAACCCAGGAGGAAGTGTTTTTAAAAATAGCAAATGCGAAGCCAGATCTTAAGGCGAAATGCTATAGCCAGAGTATTTTGTTTGTTTTTTGTTTTGTTTTCCTTTTGTTGGGTTTTAGGTTTTCCTTATGGTCTTATGAAAATCTGTAAATCTGTTTGATATTGACTATAATGACTGAATAACATAAGTTAACATAGGAGGTATATGGTTTATTTAGACCCCTTTGGTGTGATCACCTAGAAGGTTCACTTGCTTATTATCTAACCACAGATATGTCAGGATCCAAAGAATAAAATTATTATCAGTGACAGTGACATTTTCTTTAAAAGCTTTTACTTGGTTTCTGCCATACTTGTGAATGCTGCTTATAGAAGGTCACACAGCATTTGAAGGTCATGAATGTCCCATTGGAATTTTTTTCTTGGGAGAAAGGACACCAGAACACTGGTGTTGTCAGTTAGTAACTTTTGGAGGAAGTGAAAAAAAAAATTAGTTGACATATTATTGATCATTGATAAAAACACTCATCATTTTCAGCACCTTCCACATCCAGTTTGAAAACCTGAAAAATAGTAGACTTCCTCGTAGCAGTTTTTTACACAGCTCAGAAATCCCACATGACATCAGAGGCAGGAGTCAGATGGCTTCTGTCTTCCCAGTTCCTGGGGCCCAGAAGTGTTTGCTTTAAACCCCAGTTTAAATCATAGTGCCCTACAAGAGTCTAAATCTTGCATGTAAATGTCTGCAAATTTTCAGTCGCACGTACATGCTCAGAATAGCCTCTGTGTCTGGACTCCAGCATCCCCACCTGGAGTCTCTACCCTGCACTGTGCTAACCCCAAACTGAAACTCAGCCTCCTAATTTCTGCCAAAATCCACTCAGCAAAACATTCTGAAGGAGACTTTAGTTGTGAGGACGAGTTACACCAAACAGTAAGTAACTCAGAATCACATCTTAGACATTGCTGTATTCAAAAGCCCCTCTCAGCCTAACTCAAGCACAGCCTCAGCAGCTGTCAGACCTCTTATGCTTTTACGCATTTGTGCCCCAGAAGGGTGATTAGACTAGATAATTTGTAAGATGCTTCCAACTCAGGAGAGACATAATTTATACTTTTAAGAAAAAAGACTGGAAACTTTAGTTTTTTGTAATTATTATTTTTGCAGAGAGTAAGATGTCCATTAAACAGTGATTGATGTCACTAATCCAAAAAGCTGGGAATGATCGTACCTGTAAAGCACTTCTTCACCTACCTTTAACAGAATGTGAATTTGGCTTCGATGTCATGGTGTCACCTCCATTGTCTGTTCCTGTCACAGAGAAAGCTATAGAAAAGTGCTTCTCAGACTTGAGGAGTATAGGAATTCTTTTTTTTTTTTTTTTTTTTAAGGAAAGACAATCTCTTGCTACTGCAGTATTGAACTAAATTGTTTTGATTATAATGTTACTTAAATATGTATAAAAATAAAATAGGACTAAACTCCTTCTGTTGACAACCATTATACAACCATAAAGCCAAACATCTTTACAAATTAAATACAAATGAAATGGCAAAGCCATTACATTCAAATGAACAACATTAACTTAATGTGGCCAGTAATGTTTCTTAAATCTAAACTCTTGCACAAATCATGAATATGGTGGTGGCTGCTCTATGGCAGGTTCATCTGGGTTTGTTTGCCGACCCCCACAGTCTTGCCCATCCCTTTTCTCTGTTAAATTTCTGCAGTTCTCTTGTATGTTCCTGTTCAGCAGCCTTTGGCCTGCACCTCCCACAGGGACATCATGTGTGCATGAAGTTCAGCCCACTTCTGTTGTCATTAACCAGAGACAATGAAAATAGCATTCCATGGTGCCTTCATGTGTGTAACCCCAAATTCAGACAGTGAAATAACACGCCTGTAAGAAGATCTGGAATATGCTTATACTAACGTTTTTGAAGAGTAATTATTCAAGTGGAAACATGCAACTTGGAACTCCGCAGATATTATTTCCTGAATGAAGAATATACACAATAGAGAAACTCCTGTCAACTGACTAAATTCCACCAAAGTTTGCAATTGATGTCCAATGACCTTTACTATTCAAATTTTTGGATTTCATGGGAATGCAGGCAGTTGACAGTCTGATGCGTAGCCTGCATCTGTTCTGGGATTTTCATTGTTCGGTGAGGAAGCAGTATTCTACATTTCACTGCTTAGTCAGTTTAATTGATCTTATAGTCAGAAATATGGATCTGGTAGCCCCACATGGAAATAGCCAGGGATGATTTATTAAATGCAGTGAATTTGGTGTCAAAATGAGATATTTTCTCCATTTCCACGTATTACTTATAAAATGTTTCTTATAAGATAGCATCATGCTATGTCTAGAAATAGTCCCATGTCTGTTTAACTGTATTATCACATGAACTGTAGGCTGTAGTCACAGTGTCATTGTTACTACTATTTATTAGTGTCGTGGGTAACATTTTCATTTTTCATGTTGGATTGATGCTAAAGAGAAGCAGATCCTATCCTTGTGTTTGATATGAATAACAAGGCTTAAAACTCACAAAAATGTTGGCGTAGGCCGGGCACAGTGGCTTACACCTGTAATCCCAGCACTTTGGGAAGTGAAGGCAAGAGGATTGCTTGAAGCCCAACATCTGAGACCAGCCTAGGCAACAAAGTGAGACCTCGTCTCTACAAAAATAAAAATAAATTAGCCAGGCGTGGTGGCATGCATCTATAGTCCCAGCTACTCAGGAGGCCAGGGCAGGAGGATCACTTGAACCTAGGAATCTGAGGCTGCAGTGAGCTATGATTGTGCCGCTGCACTCCAGTCTGGGCGACAGAACAAGATTCTGTCTCTAAAAAAAAAAAAAAAAAAAAAAAAAAATCCCAGTTTTTTTTCTGGCTAGCAGAGTGCCTAGCTAAAAGTTTCCCAGGCTCCCTTGCATTAAGAGGTGACCATGTGACATAGTTCTGACTCCTAAGTGAAGAACAGACCTAGAGTGGGGACTTTCTATAAAACTAGTCTTTTCCTGAGTGCAATGGGACTGACTCCTTTTGTCCTTTGCCATTTTCCCTGATTCTAAAGGTATAGGCTACATGAAGGAAGAGGGTAGCAGTCTGGTCCTGTGAACAGCTCTTCTAGTTCTCATCACCTGCGAAAAGTGAATTTGTTACTTTTTTAAGTTACCTGCAATCAGGTTTCTATTTCATGAAGCCAAAAACCATTCTGAATACAGATGCTCCTCAACTTTCAATGGTGTTCTGTCCTGATAAACTCATTATAAGTTGAAAATAACATGTTGGAAATGCATTGAATACACCTCACCTACCAAACATCATGGGTTAGCCTAGCCTATCTTAAACATGCTCAGAACACTTACATCAGCCTACAGTTGGACAAAATCCTCTATTCTAACACAAAACGTATTTTATAACAAAGTGTTGGATATCTTGTACAATTTATTGAGTACTGTACTAAAAGTGAAAAACAGATTGGTTGTGTGGGTACTTAAGGTATGGTTTCTATTGAATAGTTAGCACTTTTGCACTATCTAAAGTTGAAAAATCTTAAGTTGCATCATAGCAAGTCCAGGACCATCTGTATAATGAATTGTGCACAGAAGAGCCCAGAGGGAATCATTGTCTTTTGATCAAGATTGTGTACATTTTGGAGTACTAGACGCTGGTCAAATAATTTCCACAATATT